AACGGTATCATTACTTTCAATATCCTTTTCGATTTCATAGTTCTGCTGGATCATAAGTACATTTACGTGATTAGCTTTCTTTTCATCGGTTAAATAAATGGGAACGGTGGCATAATCGGATTTTGTTTTCCTAATAAGGCCGTAAATATTAATGGATAAATTTGGATTTTGTTTTAAAAATTTTGGTAACTGATCTAAAGACATGGGGAAACTAATACCATCAAAATTTAAAATTTGCGCATAATATGGATATGATGATACGCGATCGCTATCTCGAGCAGGGGGGAAAAGGGCTGATGACAACGCCCACCCAAAACACGCCTCATCATTATTTTTAACATTGATGACCGCTTTTTTAGCTTTAATTTCTTTCGGTAATTCTATAAACGATGACGCATGCAACAATGTCACGCTGTTTACGTTCACAGTTAACGAAATTATCTTGGATAGTGCCCAACCACTATCTTGCTCCTCGAATTGCATTAATCGATCCATCAGATAGTCTACTACGTTACTATTAAATAATTGTTTTAAGCTAGCCTCATTTAAATCCCCGGATAAGATATTAAAATTCTTTGTTAAAAAACTAAATTCCCTACATGCTAATACTTCATTATTTTTATTTATCGCGGGTTTTACAAATTCCGCGCAAAACTCAAAATTTGTTTTTAGCGGACTATTATATCTAGGAAATATACCTCTAATCTTACTAATAAATAACTTACAACTATCATGAAAAAATGGCCCTAAAGTCTTATGTCCTAGGTTAACAAGAATCCCGGTACTCACACGTGTCTTGAATGCGGTCGCTAGATCCCTCCATTCCACCAAGGGTCTTCTAGCCAAGGAGGAGCCGGCTATAGATTTCCCCAGTTGACCAATAAGCACCTTGTAACGTTCCATTTTTCCAGCCATAGCTGCAAGGTGCCGTTTATCTCCAACCGATATCGAACCCGCTAGCGAGGATTTAATTTGCCTAAGATTGGCATCGATTATGTTGGTGATTTTCGGGATCTTGCTGACATCGCCGAGATTATAGTTTTTGTAGAAATGTTCAATAACTTCAAGCGTGCTATTTACATTATCGATGGTATTAGCCATTTTTCCTAAATCGATATAATTAAAATATGCAAATAATCTGAAAACACTTGCCTGATATTTGAGGCTTGAAACTGGAGAAGATACAAAGCGCACTGAAGCTTGTTATAGAAACCAATCAAGTTATAATTTGCTCACACATACCTTTAGATGCTTTTATATAGGAGTTGAAATTACGGAGGGGGTATAATCCTTATCGCCAAGAACCTTGATGACCATAAGAAAAAACAAATAACGAAACCAGAAAATTACAAAAGCAGGCTTAATACATTTATTCGTATTATTGTTACAATACCAATTTAATTGCCTATTGTTATTAATTCTACTTTCGGCGTATCGTTCTTGAGAAAACCATTTAACACGACGCCCATCCTCAAATTGTTCAATTGATCGATCACGTTTTCTTCCATTTCTTTAACCATCCGCTGCGGTAGGAAAATTGAAGCATTACCCGCTATTTCGCACACTATCCCTCGTCCATATTGGGTTGATATTGCTTTGATTTTTTCTATTTCGTATATTTTTCCCACTTCCATGTCTCGAACTTTAATAACGGTTCTTTCAACGGCATTTCCAATCGCGTTAATTCGTTGCAAGGATTTATTTAGATCCATTATTGTTACTCGAATACAATTTTGATACTATCTATAATAATATAAGTGAGATTCTTATATACTCGCGCGGTATCCTTTGAAAACTAATCACCAGGAAATGAAAACCATGATCAAATACACCGCAATCAGCATCATTAAACATATACTCGCGCGGCATCCTTTGAAAACTAATCACCAGGAAATGAAAACCATGAACAAATACACCGCAATCAGCATCATTAAACGAAAAAAAACAAAAAAAAAAACGTTAAAGGCGGAAATTATTATCAAAAGAGATCGTAATGAAAACCGCGGCAGGAAACCATAAACCCACCATTATTCCAGCACCATGATGAAAAATACCGCAATCAGCATCATTAAACGAAAAAACGTTAAAGGCGAATGATTGTAGCAGTTCCTTTGACGAGGTGATTGGTACCTATCTTGCGATTCTTGTTGTATTTGTGCACTCATCTCGATATAAATCGATTTCTTACTTTCTTATTGCTTTTATACCTTCTCTTAAAACTACTTTGGAGGGGATTAAAAGAAATCCATCATGCGCAGTGAATCTTAAAGGTATAGGTATAAAACTGAGAACGAGGTATGCTAAAAATTATTGCGTTAAATCCTCATATCGAACGCTAATGGATCGAATACTTGCCAACATCGCTCAGCGAGAGGCTCAAAAGGAGTCTAATTATATCGAGACGAAGAGCGAATTGTTAAGTTTAAGTGTAGAGGAATTATTGAAAATATGGATCAAGATCCCCAAGGTGTTGCAAAGAGACTGTGAATTACGTAATCGAATACGATGTACAAAACATTGGAACCAGCCGTGGCAGCGCACTCACATCGATGGACCCGCTCCGCTAATGATTTATTGTAATGATTGTATTTCGTCAAAGCATATTCGAAAACCAATGTCATATTAGAATGTAATATTAGAATAATGCGTCTAAAAATAAAGCATAAAGAAGATAAGATTTTTCGCACACGATTTAAGCGTCTTATCATAGCTGCTATAAATAAACACTATTGCGAGATTGCAGCTTCCCATCCTAATTATAATAACAAACAACTAAATTTCGCGCGCTGTTACTAAAGAAAATATGGATCAAGATCCCCAACGTATTGCAAAGAGACTGTGAATTGCGTCTAAAAATAAAAATAAAGCATAAAGAAGATAAGCTCATTTCCTTTCTAGTTAGCAATATGAATAATTATTTTTCGCACACGAGCGTCGTACGTATTATTTTATCATTTTAACGCGCTTCCCCGCCAAATAGCCCCTAGCCCCTAGCCCCTAGCCCCTATCGGCGACACACCCCCGCGTTATACCCTTCTACAACTCGCAAACATCTCAACGCTCTCCGTAGCGTTGTGTGGCTTGTGAGCTTATACGGCCTACTAGGGGCATCTACCGCTCCTACTGCTACCCCATACGATTTACCCTCTACGCCCCTGCAATCGCGCTCCACCCACATTCTAACAATACTTGAACTGCTAAACGTTCATATCTCAAAGCCTCGCTTAGCTCAGATGGTTAAGGCGGCAGATTCGTAATTCACGTATCGTGGGTTCGATTCCCAACGCAGATTGAAAAAAAAAAATTTTTGTCTATAGCAATCACGTGACCGATGAGGCGGGTCCAAAATAACATCCAAGATGCATAGGGGGGCGTGCTCGTCTCTGATTGGCTGTGACGTCACGAGCTCGTCTCTGATTGGTGTGACGTCACTTCCTGCGCCAGAACATACATAGGTATTGGTGTGACGTCACTTCCTGCGCCAGAACATACATTGGTCATCTACTTACTATGTAAATTATAGGTATTGTCGTCATGTTTAATTAACTTTTGGGCGTTGAGTGTAATCTTTCGTTAATATCTATACTACACAGAAATGTTGTCATTTTGGAGGAATTGTAAATTCGCCATGTTTGAGGTATTTTTGTATGTAGAATACGAAAAACGCTAATTTTTGAAGAGGTTATATTAACTGGTTTGTCTACTAAATTGAAATGCTGGGCATACCCTTCCATGTTAAATGTGGATACACTTTAATAAAACCACTTTTAGAAGCACATACAGTGTAAACTTGAACGCCCTAGGACAGAAGAACGTCGTAGAGAGGATTACATTTTGCATCTGGCAAAGATCGCCTTTTCCGTGTCGATCACCGAGAGGGAAAACCCGGGGAATCTCTCGCATCTTCCATAGACCGATTCTTTCGTATGGACCGCCGATTAATTAGGAACGCCTTTTTCGTATCAGCCAGTGACTAGCTCGACCGCCTTATCGCTCGAATGGGGAAGGGATACTTTGAGCATCTTTCATAGACCGCCTCTTTGTTATCGACCGCCGATTAACTTTGTCTGTCACTGTCACTAGCGTGCGAAACGGTTTAAGATTTCTAAAATCTAATCTTAGAGCATAGTTACCGTTGTCTTGGCCTACACCAAAAATCCCATGCGTAGTTCTTAATTCAATTGTAACGATTTTACGATCAACCGTCTAACACCAACTATATAAGTGCGTCGACGCAATAGTTTTTGCCAATTAAGTAAATTTGAAAAGGGGCGAATAATAAGGATGCGAGAGTCAATATTTGGACAGAAAAATGCAGACACCAACATTGTAGAGGACCGGAGAAGTTCGCAGAACTAGTAACCGTAAAAATCGCATAATTAATGGTGCCCCCTGGTCTGCTGGCCCCTACAGGACAACTCTGTTTGAAACCAATTTACCGGAGAATAAGGTCTTCAATGCTAACAACCACGCCTTATCTTGTAGTTAACAAAAGACATAAGGAGGCGCTTCCTAAAGGACTTATGGTTTGGGATGCCATGTCATATGAAAGTAGGTCTCGTCTAGTATTTTTGGAAAGAAACATAAACGCACAGGGTTGCGATATGATAGGAAGAAGGCTGGGTAGATTGTCTGCTTCGCCGATAGATCTGCAGCACATTCGCGATGAGATTCGGTACTTCTATATGGCACCAAGGCATAGATCACCTCATTCCAAGCATGCATGGCAGAGTAGTGCATTACCTTACGAGGATTATGGACTCATACAGTTGTCAGGAAACTTTACTTTAATCAATTGTCTATAAGTACTTTTATTACCAAAAAATTAATAACAAATTTTTACGTTTAATGATTTTTAATTATCAGTTAATAATGTAAGAAACCTTGCTAGATACACAAGGTACTTATTAATTAGCTCGTAGTTGACATTGTCTGATTAAGATGATAAGGCGATATACAAAAAACGGTGTTAATGAGGGAAATAGGCCCAATTTCGAAACATGCGCGCCATACTTTTCGCGACGATTTACCTTAGCGCCCTTTCGTTCATCGATTTCACTAACGATACTCGAATTGTGATTATTGGTGCTGGAGCGGCGGGAATTGCTGCTGCATCACGATTATATAAAAACGGCTTTACAAACATCAAAATTTTGGAAGCGAGTAATCGGATTGGCGGCCGGATTCACAGCGTGCAATTAGGCGAACACTTTATCGATTTGGGTGCGGAATGGTGTCATGGAGAGAATTTAGTATACGAAATGGTGAAGAACCTACAAATGTTGACCGATGATGCATCTTCGTCGCTGGTGTACCATTCGCGATTGAAACGTATGGATGTCGAATTTTTACCAAAATTATACAAGATATATGACTTCGGTTTTAAAGGCAACCATTCGAAGGATAAAAGTATGGGCGACCTTTTTACTGAGAAGTGAGTACAAACGAGAAATGTCCTTTCTTATTTAGCTGATTTCAGGTATTAAAAGATCTTGCTTGGGAGAGCAAAGAGGAACTGGCGCTAGTGGAGGAATGCCTAGATTTGCTTCAGAGGCACGTGGAAACAGTTTTCGCTGTGTTTTCTTGGTTGAAACTGGCACATAAAAGTGATTTGAAGCCAACTGAAGGAAACAACTACCTCGGTTGGAATGGATTGGGTTATAAAACCATTCTAGAGATTTTGATGGGGGATGCTCCCGTTCAAGATAGTATCTTCTTAAATAAAAGAGTTGGTCGAATTTATTTAACCCCACGCAAGGCTCGAGTGAAATGCACAGACGGAAGTTCCCACATCGCCGATCACGTAATTTGGACACCGTCACTTGGTGTACTAAAACGTCATTACAGTACACTATTCCGCCCAAAACTGTCCAAAAGGAAGATTCGGTCAATTCAATCTTTGGGTTATGACGCTATTGCGAAAATTTTCTTACATTTCCCTCACAAATGGTGGAATGCTGATTTTGGCGGTGCAGAATTCGTATGGAACAAGGAAGATTTGCAGAATTCTGCACACGAATTTCCAGAGGGACCTAAACTAGTTAGTCATCTAAATCGACCAATGAATGTGAATCTGATTTCTTGTAGGGTAACCTATCATGGACGACACGAATTTTGAGTATCTTTCCAAATCAAAAGAATCCTAACGTTCTTTCGGCGTGGTACAGCGGGGAATTGGTGCCGGAAATTGAAAAATTAACCGATGACACAATCATAGATGGTCTTATGCACATATTGCCTCAATTCCTAGCAGACGAGTACCCCAACATAACCCGTCCCGATAGGATATTAAGGTAATTAAAATTAATAAAGAAGGGTGCCTTATCTCATGGTTGTCTAGGAAGAGTTGGTATGCTGATCCCCATTTTTACGGAACGTACTCATTTGAAAGTGTAGAATCCCAAAAGCTTGGTGAATCTCAGGCCGCTGTACTATCGGAACCAATTGTCACAAAGACGGGGAAGTCGATCCTTTTGTTTGCAGGAGAAGCAACCAGTCAATTTTATTTTTCGACTGTTCACGGCGCAATAGAGACAGGATTTCGAGAAGCAGATCGAATCATTAATTTATATAAATGAATTTATCCAGGCTATAGATTCCCAGTTTTGTCACAATCGGTAGTGAAAATATAATAACGCAAAAGATGCAAAAAAAATAACGGAACGAGCTTTAACTACGAACCGAAGTCAAAAGATGTAAAAACATTTCAACACCACTGCGCCACACGGACCGGCTACCGGTAATTATACTTACCTAATTGACCGGGTTAAAATTTCTTAATTCAAAAGACCAGTAATACGACCTACTTTTCTTGCAATCACCGGTCAAGTACCGTACTCGTTTAATCCTGGTTTGCAGAGGGACGTTTCCAATGAATGGTGAGTTTACAGTAGAGTTGTCGCATCTTAATAAGGAGTCTGACCAACAATGGGTCAGGTTTAACTAGCTACTCCTTCGTTAAACTACCCAACCCCTTCATTGCATATTCTACTGAAAATGGGTTACCAATCTGGAGTATTGTTATTATAAGATTTGTCATGATTTTTGTAAAACAATAAGGTGTTATCCATATCTTTATTTATTTGTTACACAAGATATGAAGCTACATAAGATATTTAACATCGGGTGTGGTGGGGATTGTGGGGAAGTGAGTGTGCTGTATTAGCGTTGTTTGGCAACGGAAAAATAATAAACAATTTTGAGTTTTCATATATAGTCCAGTCAAATAAGAAAAAATAAAAACATTAATCGGTAAAGATCTGAATTTTGGTACACATGTTCATTAGTGTTCCCCATTGGACATACTAAAAGTCCCCGTCAAAATCTGTTGCGCTCGAGGCACCATCTTGGAAAAAAGGAGCACTTGTTCAGATTCTTGACTATATATCGGCAACAATTATTGATACGGAAAAATAGCTCAGATAAAAAATATAGTTTATTAAATTGCCCATAAAAAATCATATTAACATTTTTTTGTATGTCCAATACTTTAGTTATAATCCGACATCGAATAGGGAATCAAGTATCCTGAGCTCTCGAAACAGTCGCGCATACATTTTTTTACAACTTTTTACAAATCATTAAATTTATTGAAAATTCTGCCAGTATTTCTTATATGTATATGCGAAGTCGTCGCACTCAAGCTTGGTATGAGACACGTTTAAAGGTTTCTCATAAAACTCTCTCTCTCTCTCCCTCTCTCTCAATAGAACTTTCATCTTCAATGTGAGCAGTTAAGCACTGAGTGTAGACTGGAAGCCTTCAGTGACCAAACAGGGTCAAGGAAATCGTGGACTCTCCTTCAACTCCACAGTTCGGGAGATTTTTCATATCCACGGAATTTCTGAACTTGCTGATTAATACGAAACGTGTGTTGCTGCGCCGCTGCAGCTGTAGTGGGTAACCGAAGGGGTAAAAGTGGTTAGATTCGGCTGACCCTTGTACGCGTATTTTCTGAAGGTCTGATAACGATGTCGGTTTAAATATCTCTCATTAGCAGGCACGTTATATGCAGAGAACGGCCTTCTCCAGCTTCAGAAATCATTTCGTGGCTCCAACAATTTAAATCATTTTCGCTTACCTTTTTGAAAATAACATGACGTCGTATCATGAAACATTTTGTCATTGCTAGAATGCTTTTACATTTTTTTCATTTTTTGGTGCTTTTACAGCTTTCGGTGTAGTCATAAAAAAGACGGCATCCTTCCTATAACCAAAGAGTAACCATACTCTTTACTATAACTACGATACGGGGCCTAAACGCGTTCTGACGCATTCAACGTGAGATTACAGCTAAAGTATTGGAGATACAAAAAAAACGTAAATACTCTTTTTTATAGGGAATTTAGTAAACTATATTTTTTATGTAAACTATTTCTTCGTATCAGTAATAGTTGCCGAGACATGGGCAAAAAACTGGAAAAGTGTACCGTTTTTCCAAGATGGCGTCTCGAGCGCAACAGATTTTGACAGGGACTTTTAGTATGTTCAATAGAAAGTCCCAATAAATGTGTATACCAAAATTCAGATCTTTACCGATTAATGTTTTTATTTGTCCAAAACTGCGCTAATTTGACTGGACTAATAGTATTGAAATTTTACAATCTTCTCCCTAATAAAAAGAAAGAATTAAATTTTCTACAGGGATAAAGTGCGTAGAAAAGAACAAATCACCGCCAAATATGGCTCCCTCCATACTCATGTTTAGGGAAAACCGCATGGCGATCTTAGATCTCGTTCGTTAGATATTAAGGGTGGATTGTTTTGGATCTATCCATATTTTCATCCACTGAAAAGTGGTTTAAATTTTAGATTTGTTATTAGGATTACAGATATTTTTTGCCTTATGTTGGTTTCTATCTGGCTGCATTTTTGTAAAGAATGTTTAATCGTAGCTTAATAATAATTATTTTTCGTCGACCTCTCGATAACAGCATAAATTACACCTTAGTTACGGGTGTAGTAATCAAGCTCATTAATGGTTAGAAACCATTATACGTTAGCAACCATTAATCGTTAGCAACAACTTGTACATAACAACCATTTTATTAAAGGGAAATGACATTTATATGTATAACAATTCACTTTCGGCAACAGCTGAGAACTTCCATCCACCTAACCATTTTAATCTCGGTTTTAATGTAGTGAGATCAGCAGCCAGTATGGTCGCCAACGATCTCAGCAAAGCATATCCTGTGTATATCTTCTCGGATAAGGTATTGTTAAGGTATTCAGTTACTTTACCTTCAACATTGAGTACGTCGACCACAGAGAGGAACTTTTCCATATCTTTAACTGTTAATACACGTACTTTAGTACAGTTGCAAAAGAATTACATTCTAATTTCACATACCTTTTCAAGGTAAAATGTCAACATGACATTTTCGGAAATATCTCCTTTCAAATTCATTGTATTCCATCAATTGCCGAACTGATCGAAACCGTTCCAATAAGTTTCTTTTGATTTGAGTGGATATAATGTTAAAATCGCCTCCGCAGCAGAGCAAGCAACATAATCTTCCACTGCGATTACGAGGACTGACGCACAGAATAAGACCTTCACAGAACAGAAACATAAATGGCGCTAAATTGTCACTGATTACAGCGTTTCCCGTGGTTGTACGGAGAACTATTTATCGCAGACTCAAATATTTTTTTGCAAAACCTGTAATTTTGCTCGTTACAGGAAATATTTTTACCGTCGATTTTATACGTACACATGGTTTTACACATGTCAATTTTGACTTTTGAAAGATTTAAAATATGAACAAGTTATGTGACCGTAAAAAGTGTTGTGTGGCGGATTGTAACAATAAAATATCAAAAAGGCATCGTTTCCCACATTTTGAAACAGATTGTTTTGTGCATGAAACGCGAAGAGGATTGAAATGTGCTATTATTTCTTTCCTATTTATGCAAGGTAAGTAACAGGTACAAATTGAGGCAGAATTATTACCAACTGTACCTATAGGCGCAAAAGGGTGTAGACTTGAGTTTTATGTATAGATGTAGATACTTATATTGTAATTCGTTTTAGATAATTCAACAACTTCCACCCTCGCTTCTCAAGTAACCAGTAAGCACCAGGATCAAGTTAACATTTGTTGTCAAAAACTTGTGTGACAATTTGCTGAAACGGTTTTATTACCTCTTGGAACAAATAATTTAGTTCTCAAGATATTTTTTAACAAAAATATGTAGTCCAAACAGCAATTAAAACCAAATATTTCGTAGGACAACTCGTTACGTAAGGATCTTTTTGCAAAGTGTTAACTTCTACAAAGCGTAAGTTGCACTTACTTACTTCTGAGTTTTATATGTAATTTGTAAACATGTAATTTAAGATGTCTGTGTTAAATAATGTAATGTGATTGTATCTAAATACACTTGCAATTTAACAACTGTGTATTCTTTATCTATATTTGTGATTTAGATCGAATTGGGGAAATTACTTCATGGATTTAGAAGCTGGTCACCAGATGGCGCTACTCTGATTTTGATGCTTTAGTTCACAGTACACCCACCAGGGTCCGCCAATATACCATACAAATTTGTAACATTGCTGTTTCTATTCTGAGAAGGCCGTATTCTGTGGGTACAGCATTAAACAACATATTACTATAGCAACGACAATAGCTGTAATTTAGTGAAAAATCGTAGCTCATAATCTCTTTTGTAATTTCTCGTAGTTGATTTTAAAATAACCTACCCCAGTGAGGTCGACGAAAAAATGTTGTATGTAATTCATGTATAAATCGGCGATTATTGGTTCGTTCGAATTTAGTCCACTCGCTGCGCTCGTGGACTAAACATCTCACTCACCAATAAAACGCCTCATTTATACACTCATTGCATAAATAACTATTACCTAATTCAACATACGTTTTAACGTTTGGTTTCCTTGGAGATAGCAGGTAATTAGCCATTTCAGGTTCTGAAGGAAGTTGAAATACAAATCTAAACCTTTCTTTCTTCTAATGATGCATTCAAGTAAAGAAAACTACGTGCTCGGCGTCTGTGATAAGTTCTTAGAAGGTAACAGAGCAATATTGTTAATCGATGAGCATTTATTTCCTTCCATTCTCTGAAAGCCAAGCGTCAGACCAAACTTCGTTATTGGTTTTAGTTCGCTAAAACAAAGGAACTCCACCCTACGTCTTCGCCTGGAGAGGTAAACATGTCACAAAAGGAGCATGATAAACCCCAATCACTTACACTAATTAGGCGTACATCTGCTTTCTTGTGCTTTAACTTCGTGAAATAAAGTGTTTAAATATTTTATGAATCTCGAGCAATAAAAGACTGCAAAAGTTTTATTATTGATGATCTTTTTTCGAAAATTTATTGCGTACGGCATAAAATCGGACGACTTTATATACCATCGTAATAAAATACAGATGCGGAAAATATACTAATAAATTTCATGAAAAGTACTCTACTCCTGTACTGTTATTTCAACTCATTATTTTAAATTGTAAATAATTTATCGCGGATGCCTTTTTTAGTGTAAAAAGTTGTGTGATCGTGGAGACTAAACTGTTATGGTCGTATTTTATTATTGAAGGGTACTTTAATGTTTCGTATAAATTTTAAATTATCTCGTTAGGAGACGGTCCGCTAGATGCTAACTGCCATTGAAGAGGTAGTTCAGTTTCCAAAGAAAAACACATGCCAAAGTTATTGCAAAACATTTATTTTGTTTGTGCAAAACCCATGTTACAGGTATCTATACTTTATATTTTATTGTCGCTTTAATGCAAACATTTATCACTCCACCCGTATATCTGAAATTTTTGCTACATTTATACAAGGTTGGTTTTTTTTTCATTTTCACTATGAGGATCTCGTAATCACGTTTTTAGATAAACCTGCATCCGTCACTCTTATGGAATGTTTGCTAGCAGAGGATGAGCCTGGTGTAGATATATAAAACTGACCGAAACAGGAGGAAATAAATTGGAATAAATTGAAAATGCACATCTGATCTCATCTTATCAAATTGAAAAGTAAAAGGCGATATAAACCACGCTAAGAAATTGAAAGAATAAATGGATTGTTAGATGAAGCTGTAGAAAGTTTATTTTTCATGGTAAACGCTAGTACATCAGACGAAATGGGTGAAGAAGAAAGTAACGACGTTAGTGTTTCATTAGTTTCAAATACACACTCCTTGGTCATTAACTCATTACCAATAATCATTTTGTTATTTTGGTTTATAATTTTTGTACTTGTTACGTTCACTTTGGAAGAAAGTAAAAAAATTAGCTTGAGATAAGCACACGGTAAGATCAGACAAAGTAGAGGTGGGTCGAGGTGTATATCGATGTTCTTGTACACTAGCAAAAATAAGCAAAAAAGTAAATGTAGTTATTGGTAACCGGATAGGCGCCACTTTAATAAATTTTAACAAAGTAGAGAGAATACTTCCAAAGGGGAGGGGGGACAAAACGAACTAAGATGTTCTGGTCTTGATAAGCTAAAGAAATAAAATACTGATATGTAATTCGTAACTTAATATGTTACATACCGAAACGGCCTTAGAACTTGTAAAATATATCCGCAAATGCGTCAGTAAAGTGTCGAAAGCAAAATAACAAGAGAAAACCTTCATTAAACTCATACAGTACCAATTAATCCCAAAAGGCAGACAAAATAGTAGAGTTGCAATAATGGCGAGTATGTTCTTCTACAAAGTGGTGGTTGAATCAAGTACAAAGAAGTGCGTGCGCCGAAAGAAATTAAAGAAAACTCTGCACGACCTCCGTTGGCAAAACAAAGAACTATTGGAATAAGATTCTTATACTAAGACAATAACTAATTTACATCTAAACTAGTGCATTACAAAGAAGATACCTAGATGGCGTAAGAATACTCAATTTAAATTACGAGCGAGATGAACGTAACAGGTTTGCCATCATTTTGATTAAATGGCCGAAAATGAATTTCACTTGTAAATTGTTTGTAATTTATTTGGAATTTAAATAGTTTGGGAGTGACTGGCTTTATCATTTAAATTTAAAGTTTTATTGGGGCAACTAAAGACTGGTTTAAGCAAAATTTTAAATAGTAAATGGTACATTTTAAATACCACCGTTGAGTGAAGGATTAGATACCACCATAAATTTAATTGTCGCAACTGACTTAATCACTCAACGCTGAAATGCTAAATATGAAATGGAGTTTCATATTTAAAGTACATTTTACTTGATCAGATAGGAATTTAAAATTAGAGTTACAATACTTTTACAGCTGTTATCAGTTTGCTTTGAGTGAACGCTTAGATAACGATCCTTATCGCAGTCTACATGCGAAATCATGCGTACAATTTCGACCTTGAACAGTGGGAAGCGGAAACGATATAATATATGCATACTATAGTGTAGTGACACACGCAGTGGCAAACAAATTCAAAATGCGTTAATTTCAAATTTCATATAAGCAGTTTATAAAAGACCATGACGTACTTTGCGTTATAGATTCAATATAAAAATTATGAATTAACGTAAATATGTCACCGAATTGAAAAATTGTTGTACGCTAAACATACTGTCTAGTTGTCTACCACAAATACTCAACATTAATGTTATTAGGATTAAAGCGATGTTTTATTGGCGTAATTAGCATTAGGTACTACTGAAGGAGGTCGAAGGGCGTTTGGTTTTCACGCATTCAACATTGAATAAATTAATGCGAAATATTTAATAATAATTAAAAGCGTAGAAATATAGAGCGTAATAAAAAAAATGAAACGACCAAAAATTGCAGTGGTGTAAAAACTCCGCTTAAACAAAATCATAATGAACGCCGTAACTTAATTAAGAGGCAAATTTAATACTTTCTATACCTACATCAGAGTTCATGAATATTTTGATGATAGCATGGGTAACAGCTTAAAATTCATTATTTTCTGTAACGGAATTACATTCCTGTCGGCAATCATAACTAAGAGCACTTTAATATATAATTAGTTTTCTAATTATTTTTTAAAATACATTAACATTGCGTCTTCGTAAAACTAAATTAAGCTCCACTTCATACAGCTTATTATAACCTTTATATACCTAAATTAATTTAATATTACAATTAATCAATGAATCATTTTTAATGAAAGTACAGATATCCATCAGTTAAAAACAAATACATACAAACATCTATCAAACTGTCAAAAAACACATGTTGTTATTATGTATTTAACATAAAATTAAAAAAAGTGCTACTGTGGCCACTTTGTCCATCCGTTAAGATAAATGATCATAAACAAGTATAAATTGTACACTACTCTTGTGCAGATAAACCGCATTTTTTAAACCGAAATAGTTTTTGTTTTGACATCACCAATGGATATATTTCTTGCAGTCGTCTCAATAGCCCTTTGTGAGTACCCTCTTCCAACAATCCGTTCTTGAGGTATAAGGTATAGCCCGCGTATTTGCCATGTATCTGCTACTTGTCTTGTCTTTTAGAATCTTCCTAACCCTAATCCTAGTATGTCATAAGTATGAAAGAGAATTTTATACAGATTAATACACTCCATTAGTACCTATAGTATACGACCAATCAGCTTAGTGATTTTTTCAAATTCTAACCAATCAGATGATTGTTTAAGTGATTAAAAGCTAGGTAGCTTTTTATCAGCGCTAAAAATGCGTGTAGAATGCGTAAAATCGTTGCCCCCTATTCCGCAGTCCGCTGGCACCCAGATCAAGCTTACCCTATTACATTCACCTAATCTATCTAGAGTTCGCCTGCAATCAAGCGCCCTGCGCCGCCCGTAGCCGATTGGAACCTGTCTGCTGACAGAGTCCTCAGCGCCGCCTGACTGTCACTATAATACATATGTATAATATATGTTTATTACGGTAACCTCTACGAAGGCTCTCCTGAGCACAGGTCATGATGGCTAACATCTCTGCCTGAAACACGGTGCTATGCTGACCAAGGAGAAGCTGACTCTAACTCTCGGTCGATCACCATATATACCCATGCCCGTTTCCCATCTGTAAACCACACGAGTTCCTCAGGTTTGAGGAAAGGGCAATCCGAGTTCGGCCACTGCTCCCTATCCGAGAGAATCCCTTCTTGCGAGGAGGGGATCGGATCTGAGGGTTTCATCCCAGACCAACCGTGCCCAAGGCTGCCTCGATCCATCCACTCGTCCCAATGGTTTAGCCATATTGAAGCCTTCCGAGCCTCTGTTTCCAGAGCTAAGTGTAAACGCTCTAGTAGTGCCTCCAATCAAAGTTGGCGTGGTTTTCAGGGCTCCAGTGACTCTCAGACAGGCGAGTCGCTGGACCTTTCCTAGTTGTTTCTGTAGGTTGCTCTGCGCATGGCAGGCCACCATACAAGTGCACCATACAGTATTATTGGCCTTATTACTACAGTGTAAAGTGAATATACCAGTCGAGGGTTCAAGCAACCAAAAGCCCTTCTCTTCTACATGCCCATAGACATGCAGTGACCTTTTTGCTTATTTGCTCAATGTGTTCTTTCCGAGTCAGGCAGGAGTCAATGATGACTCCCACATATTTCACTGACTCAGTCGACGTCCTCGAAGAGTGAGACCATCAAGATCCGCTCTCCTTCTATTCGTAAATGGAACAACCCCGGTGTTTTCCGGGTTAACGGAAAGACCAATGCACCATCTATCCACCTGTTCAAGAGCTCACTCCATGGGCTTTTTCAGTTTCACGGTGTTTGGAAACTTCCCAGTTATGACGATCGCGATATCGTCCGCGTATTGGGCGTATCCCTGCGTATACGCTAACCCGGAGTCACCCCTCGTTCAGGGTGCGGAGGAGCCCGTCTAGTACCAGGTACCACAGCAGTGGAGACAACGCATCATCCTGCGGACATCCTCTAGTGACCGATGAGCTCATCTCCGCCGGATGACTCTAGTCAGGGAGGTAGTACACAGGGTTCGAATTTGAAGCGGGTCCTGTCAACCCTCATATCTAGAAATCCTAATTTAGGAAAAATGCGTGTGAAACATTTTAAACAATGTACCTATTACATCGTACGTGTTTTTTATCGGTAATTGTGCCTACCTCGAAATGAACAGAAAGCGATTGCCTAAACAGATTACCGGAAATGATCGACATTTAATCACGTATTTATATCACCTGTTAACAATATCATTTCCCAAACACAATTTTAGTCATCAACTGATTTGCATAGATACATTATATTGATCAGACACAACGGCGCAGAAAGAATGAATTTGCGGATTACTACTTTTGAAATCCAACCAGTTTTCCTGAAATTTCCTTTACTGCTCACTCACCTGAACCAATTCCGAAAATTTAAAACAGACTTCGATTTTAATTTCCCAGTTCCTTATTCTTGTAGTTAAGCGAAGTGGAACAAAAATACAAAGGCAGTTGAGCACAATTGTATAGAGATGTTCATTATTAATCCACCCTCAAAGGTGAAAGTATTACAACACAAAGCTAAGTACCCGTCTGAAAGTAAGTAGTAAATATTTTTGTCGAAGAAAAGAAACAAAAGTTATATAAGACGATTTTGCTCACGTATTTATTTCTATATAAAAATTATGCAGAACCCGGAAAATAATTTTCAGCAACACGTAAAATTTATACCGTAAACTTAATAATTGTTACATTTTACCTGTACATTCAAGTGCAACACGTTTGTACCGCAATACGTATGTGATAGAAGGAGACAAAAGTGTGCCACCTCCTTTTATTTGACTGTAATATTGAAGGCATACCTGGATTTCGTTGACTCAACGCGCAGTACGTTTTGAAACGGCGCGAGGTACAAACTCGAAGTGTCCCACAGGAAAAATCGTTACTCGAATTTTCGCGTTACGAAAACAAACTCGTGCGATTTTCAAAATGTGATCGACTCTTCCTTTCCCGACTATTATTTCACCAAATACAAATTTCACCAGGTAAGTTTTCGTTAATTAAACGCTAATTGCCGGTATTATTATTTTCACTTTCGCTGTTTGGGGAAAATATTTCGACAGTCATCTTCTGGAAAATTAATGCAGATTTCCCTTTAAAAGAACCGGCTTTTTTTTCGCGACGGACTTAACAAATATTTGCAATTTAAGTAGTGGATTGAACGAGAAGTTTTTTAATGCAAGGATGTGGAATTAAACTGTGGTCGAATGCCCTGAATAGATGTTTTCCAGTCGAATAGGTACACAGAGATCACCATGGCTACACCCTTATTATATCAGTAAAATTTAGTACAACCGAATTAAACCCCCCGCAAAAAATGGGCTCCGAAAATTTCTAAAGAAATGCGATCGTCGCTTCCGGGGGAATGTGTCGAAGGTATATGTGTAACCAACGAGCAAGAACGAGAGTAATTACTGCAAAATTCGAATTTCACAAAGTACCTTACAAGTTGGCTCATTAGTAAGAGTCAGCGTTGGTTATTACGTGACTTTCAAGAAATAAATGAAGGTAAAAATTATGTAGGAATTCCTGAAAGTGTTTTAATGAATGTCTTGTGTTAAACATTTTTTAAATCACAACGAACTTATGATTCATTACTAAACGCCAATCATTGAAATGCGGCTACTGGTTTTGAGCCGTAAATTTAACAAAGTAGACAAAGAGAACCCAATTTGTAAAGATACATTATAAACGTGTCAAAGCATTCAAATATAATCACTTCATCCGGTTTATCACTGAATAGTGAATATATAATTTATACACCATGGCAAGAAGCGTGGCACTTAAAAAAATTCGTTTGACCTGCCGTTAACCGTTTGGCTCTCTTTGCGTTTGCAAACTCATTACGAGTTACGCAAAACTGCAATTTATTACAAAAGATTTGATTGAATGCCGAAAATTAATTACGAGTTTATTACCTCCAATATTAATAAAAAATACCCAAGTCTCCGTAGGCGTACAAGAAAGGGTTGCTCTCGCAACTACAATTTTAATCTCGGCGGAAACGCGTTTAGTTCGGAATTTCCAATATTCCAAACTTCGCGTTTAATCAACTTCAATAACGCGAAAAGGTTCCTTTGCAAAAAATACTTTACATAGCAGACGTTCATTTACAGAAACGGCGGATCTTCCCGCAACCGAAACGCACAGAGATCGACCGACCTTCACTGAGATGAGAAAAGAGCCACTTTGCATACTTACATACGAGTTGCATATTTTCTCAGCAATCAATGCGAAATTAGTATTATTTACCCGTTTAACAATAGATGCAGAAATCATTGAAACCGGCATCAATATGCGCATTATAATTCGCAGTTAAAATGGAATAAATTCTCTCGATTCGGCCTCAACGGATTATTATAAAGCTAATTATCAAAACTTTCCCTTCGTTCGAACTTTGAATTGATCCATAAATAATGAGATTGCATCCCGTTTTTCAAGTGAAATGTAATATAAATTCGCAAACGCAAACTATTCGCCCTTAGTATTTAAGGACAAATGGAAATAGTATAGAAATGCGCGTAAAAAAAGTATTGTCAATCTCACGTAACCTTAAATCCCGTGGAAATCTCCCCGTATAAATTGGGGATTTAGATAATAAACACTCCGCCGAAAGATTATGGGAGTTTACCCTCTTATAAGCTTTATGTTGAATTCCGATGAACGAAAATTTAATTTTTGGATTATTCTACACAAATCCTATAACATTTTTTTAGTTTCAGCTCCAGAGTGTAATTGAATTATTAAAATGTGCTCTTTTGCACCCAAAAGGGAAATGTTAGAGATCGGTTTTTTATAACTATACCTACTCACAAAACGTCGCTATTTAAACGCTCCTTTAGTTACAATATTGCAAAGATGTATAATGAATTACCATCACCATCTCATTTAAAACATTTATCCGAAAGTTTTTTTAAAAAACGCTTGCGCCTCGTACTCCTTGCAACACAGCATTAACATTATTATTGCTATAATTTTTTTAAAATTTATTTTAGGTTTTCATTTGTGCCTTCATACTGAATGATTTTTATTATCGTATACTTTTTTCTTTACTTGATAAAAGTGCTAGGTTTTTTATGTCTTGGTCTCTTGTTGTTAATTCCATATGTAGGGGGTTGAGTGGTAGAGCAGGCGGAATAACACGGTTTATTCCAGTCTGAACTTCGCCCCATTGAGTCACCCATTATGTAATGTAATGTAGGTAATGTATAATATCTGTTCTTTGTATGTATAATGTGTGCTCAATAAATGTCATTATTATTATTATAAAAGTAAAATCTCAAAATAGGTGAGGTCGATTTTATGGAATTTGGGTACAAATTGTTTACTATAGGAACATTTACGGCATCGCAATTTCTGTACAAACATGTTTTGTGTGGTAGATCAGTATTCCATTGGCCAATTATGACTCCACCATCAGTAAGATCCTGGGGGAGTGGGGGCAACCACTTTCCCTTCCGCTTCCGACCTCCCTTTCACCTGCAATTCACGTTTGAAGTTTTGACGCCATAATCAGTAATATCTTGTCGAGGGCTACCGCATTCCCTTTGTCGGTACCCACTTCCGACGTCACGTTCGCCCGCAATATAGTACTTAAGGTTTGGGTACTTCTTATAGCCCGCGTTTCCATATACGGCACGATAGAGAGAGACCACGATTAGTAAGAAACTTAGGGCGCCCAAAGTCGACTACCTCTCGAAAACGCGCGCCTTGCAAAAGGTGGTTAATTTCGCCCCTAGGAAAAAAACAAAATTCTGTCACGGAGAGTTGTGCGCGTTTAGAAGACCTTTCCAACGACACCAATTGAAAACCAATCGGACCAAAACTCCAGGGTTAGTATAATACGCTTGATGATGGCTCCCAGATGTCACCGACTCCGCGTTATGTACATTCCTCGTCTTTCTACAAGCGTTCTTCTATGGTAATTTACTGCCAGCCAGCCGGCCAAAGTGAAATTAAAAGCGACCTTTTTACAAATAAATTTGCAAAAATCCGCTAAACCTAAAAAAATCGTATCTCAAGGTTCTCGTTAATTGGGCCCCACTGTTTGGCGACAATTGTAACGGGTAGTTACAACCGCAGTAGTGGAATGTCCTTTTGTACATGTCTACTTAAAATCGTCCCACCTCTGCAATAGCCCACTTTATAGTAAATAAAGACAAAAATCTCCATTTCCAAATATCTTTTTACCAATAGCAAAAATAATATTAATTTTTTATTTGTTATCAAGTAATTAGGCAAATGACTGAATCTTTTTAAGTGTTTTCCCTTACTACTTAACCTCGTACTTAACTGATAAAAATCTTCCAATACCCTTAAAGCAAATTGTATTGCTTTAAATACGAATAAAATAGTTGGGTCTTCCAAACTCGAAGTGCCGTTTGATGAGTTCCATTCACATCTTACGATGATAGAATTTCAGTTCGCTTTATTTAAGGTCACGCAATTTTAATTATTGTGGGTAGAAACTTCCACTATTGTTCGTATGTAGCGTAATAGTTTCTACACCTTAAATTATCATTTGTGAATGAGGGTCACTAAAAACTTTCATTCTCGTGTAAAATTTTACTCGTTTGAATGTTTTATTCGCCAATTATCTCTTGAATATGAAGGTCACACTTTAATTCACGCGTTTAATGTACACGTGCTTACAGCCGGTGCACACGAGCGTAATTTACGTCGCCATTTCTTAAATCTCCAAAATCGCAAGCAAATGCTCCAAATGCACGAGCACTCACGTGAGGGTGAACCCAATATTTCCTTTGTTTGAGAAATAAAATATTTGTATATGTAATACGCAAACAAAACGCGTTGTTTATGGTCGACATCAACACATGAACACTGCACGCAAATATACCGTGCCGTGTGTAAAACGCAAAAAAAAATACACCCTAATTTTCATATGGATGTCTTAACTTCGGTCGCGGCCCCACGCCAAAGTTTCTAGCATAAATCAAACACACCCCGCGCTTAATTACAGGTGACCGACTTAACTCCGCAGACCGCTTAACCCCAATTTTTTCTGGCGGTTCGACGCGAATTCGAAATACACAAAGTAAAATCCACCCTACTGTAAAGTATAGGTCATCAAATAAAATCCGTTAACGGCAAATATCCAATTTGTATATGGAAAAACCGTTCCTAACCATACCCAAACTCTATCAACGATAGAAAAAGATGAATGTCCAGATTTTTCGCAAATGTGCAGAACTATATTAAAAAATGGACAAAGGAAATGAATTTATGTTTCAAAAATTAGAACTCCGTTTTAATGAAAGTGAATGCAATAGCGGCTAAAAGAGCAGAATATCTGTACGCCATTGAAGGTTATAGAGAGCAGTGTTAAAAGATGCCCGGTATGCATATATTCTTTAACTTTGTGGATTTATAGTTTATACGAACCATTGGGCGCAACGTATAACCTTGCATCCCCAAACTACGCTCCAACTGTTTCTCCTATCTAGTGCCCTTACAATATATTAAATATCCGTGATTTTGGTTCATAATAATATCGTTTTTAATTTTTCTTCATTGGTACGCACAAAAATTGCTAATATACGTGTCTGCGATTTGTTCGTTGTAATTTTTGTGTAAATGTCTAAAGATAGACAAAAATATATTTACTGGCACGTAGGCTAATTTCACACATATCAATATTTGGGTACAGACTTATTTAAAATTAAATCATAAATATCTGAGATACATATTAAAATTTCATTGAAAAAGCGCATATAGATATCTATTTCATTCTAATATTTTCCAACGTTGAATAACAATTATTGTGAATAGGAACACGCACGTAGACTACTACCGGGCTTTATTTGATACAAATCGGTTAAGTAGTTTTTTTAATATAAACTTCTCGTCGGTGGACATTTTACTCCGATAGTAATCTGACATACTTCCGTCCTATCATAAAATATGTATAGTACATGGTAAATATTTAATTAAAATGTCATATAACTCATATTAATTACAAAAACGG